AATGTATTCAGCGCTATGACTACTCCATCCATCATATTAGGTAGGGTTGCACAGCTGAATGCAGCTCTATTCCAAATAATGATGGTCTCTAATATTTTCCTGAAAATGTGGGTAATTTATTATCATGGGCTAATTATGCCCAATACGGCTGCAGGCTGACATTTATTGCCAGAGGTGGGCTGAAGGGAGCCAGGAGGTATTGCATTGTCACCAGAGCTATTTCTGAGAAGAAATTTCTCTGCTTGTCCAGCATTTCTGCCAGAGCTTTGGGAAGCATTTCCTTTCCTGCAGAGTGCTGGATGCACTTGCTTCTCCCCTGTTTCTGGCAGGATTGATGGTTACCCATCCTTCTCCTTGGTTAGGGATCACAAATGTTCCCTCTCTCCCTGCATGAGGCCCTGGGCAGAAGAAGTACAACTGCTTTGTTTCAATGGCAGGCACATTCCTGTCTAAATCAGCCTCAACAGTGACCTGATTTTCAGGATACAGATCCCCACTCCTATGGCCTTGGTTTCTTGTCCAAGTAGCAACTTCCAACAATTTCTTCTCCCCATCTCTGAATGCACAGACAGGGATGCAAAGCAGTAAAATCTTGGTTTATAGCCATCTGCTTCTCATTTGTGACAAATACAGCTTTTTGTGCCCGCCCAGGAAAACTCAAATCCAGAAATTTTCTTCAAATTTTCTTTCCAGGCAAAAAGAAGAAATGCCACCTGTTATTTCTGTTGTAATTTAACTATTTCTTTGGGGGTTTTGTCTCTTCTGTTGATGCTTTTACTGAGTAATAAATAGCTGAGGAAAATATAATTTTAACTGTTGTACAATAAGTTTCTGTTTATCTTGGGAACTACCTACTTCAGATCAATTACAGTTATTTATGAATTTCAATGGTAATGAACATTACGTTTATTTTTTATTCTCTATGCCTGAATAACTCCACTCTCTGCATTCTTCTTTAATCCCATTTTTATGTTTACACTTTTCTTTTTGTGAGTGTCTTGCTACTGTGACCTAAGTATCCCTAAGAATGTTATCAGAGCCTTCCCATAATTGTGAAAATGTCTTTTAGGTCACATCTATGGCTTTTATTTTCTAGGTAGAATAACTCACCCCCCTTAACCTTTTCTTCCAGCTTAGATTCTAGAGACTTGATATTATCTTTGTTGCCCTATGGTGCACCCTTTGCAAGTCAGTACTGTGCTTCCTGCAAAACAGACTTGCAAATGGGTCTGGGTGAGCTCCATCTGGGTTACAGCTATTAAAGATCTTCTTCTATAGAAAATGTATCACCTCCAGTTTACTGCTTTATTCCCTTGCTAACGCCACCTGATGTTTGCCTCTGCCTGCTGTTGTGCACTAGGTTGATGATTTTAGGGATTTTTTTACAATAACCCCCAAAACTATCAGCTGTGTTAGGGTGCTTCACCCAGGAATGGACCCAGCCATTTCACCACCAGGGAATTTATGCAGGGTAGTCCTGAGAAATAAGGAAATCATATTAGTCAAACTGCTTTGTGAAAATATTACTGTTAGCAAAAGCAATAGCTGAAGAGTATGTAATGATTTTGGACTGGGAAATGATATTTGGTGCCAGGGAATAAAAATACATCAATTTAGCCATTCATTTTGACAAAAACAAAACTGTAGAAAGCTTTTTCCATTATTGTTGTCTTTGTGGAGCCATTCGCAAGCAGCAGTAGCATAGCAGAGAGCACAACTGCTTTATTAGCGGGGCTGTTCAGAGGTGTTTGATTTTGAGGTTCACTTAAGGTGAACAGTCAAGACAGCAGACCATCCTCTGATGTCTCAGATTGGAGAGATGTTCAGACAACTAGACAATCAGTAACTTCTGTGCCAGTGATTAATTTATTGGGAATTTAGGCAGAACTGTTTGCTCTTTAATTGTTTTTGAAGACCAAAATAAGCTTGGGGTTTATACGCAGGTTACATATGTTTGGGGTCAGTTTAAGGGAAGTGTTCCTCCTTGATTTCATTATTTGTATTGGGAAACAAAAAGCAGATTCACTTTTTAGCCTTTTATTTAATGTTCACTGAATTGCTGTCATACATATGGTTTGCTGGAGCACCTGTGTGTGCATGGTTCTCTCCAAGCAAGGCAGTAACCTGATGCTGGCAGGGTTGCCAGCCGTACCTTCCCCTCTCCACCTTTGATAGATGGTAAAAACCACAACTCTCTAAAATCTTCTGAAGTCTTAGCAAGATGAGACTTTTTGTCCAGGCTTAGTAAAAGGAAGAAGGAATTGTTTGAGTGAAGAGGTGCATATCAGTGAACACAAAAGATTAATCATCATATTTATATAATATAATTGTCATACATAGGATTGAAGTCCAGCATTCAGCCTTTGATTTGAGGCAGTGTCACTTGACGTACTTGTCAGCCAGCGGCATGCACACAAGACTATTTGGGATGGACATTGGTTTGCCTTATTGAACGTAGATAATGTTACTCTTAGACATGACTGAGGAAGCAAGTTATTTATTTTCAAAAGACTTCATATCCAGAAGTTTTGAATTTTCGTTTTTCACCCACATCTAGTTTCATCAACCTACAGTTCATCTCTAAATTTCAGGTAAGCACCAAATGCAAGTCTCTAGAGGATGAGCTGAAAGGTGCTGTGGGCAGCCATGTCTTTTTGGCTCTGAAAACACAGGCTCATCTGGAGCCGGGGGGGTTATGTAAGACTGGTGCTGTGGAAGGAGGTGAGCAGGCAGCATGGTGAGGACACTGCAGCTTGGGGTTGAGAAATGGGGTGTTTTGAGAGCTGGTGCAGCCTTGTATCATGGCCACTTGACTCAGTGCAGAGTTCATTTTTTGATTCTTGGTCTTCATTGAAATAAGAGTTTGCAAATAAGTTTGAACTTAAAATCCGTTCAGAATTCTGATAATTGTTACACAAAGGTGCAGTTTTCACATGATCTGAAGTACCACCCTCAGACAGTCAACAGATTTATACGAAACCATACTATGCAGTCATCTTTAAACATTCCTGCCTCTTTTCAAAAGTAATAAATTGTTTCCTACTGTTTGTATGGTACTTTAAACTGCAAAAGAGAGAGGATACAGGAATATGTATGAGCTAATGACAAACCTTAAGTACTGTATCAATAAAGACATCAAAGAGGTGATAGAAAATGAAAGAAACAGAATCTTTTTTATCAACTGCCAGACTTGGGAATGCTTTGGTAGCTGTGGGTATCACTGTATTTTACCAGAGCCACTGTCCTGTTCATCCACTGCATCAGCAGAAAGTGATGCGATGTGATGTGGAGCTCTTATTGTTGGTCCTGAACAAAGTATCAGCTGATTAATTTGGAAATTATTATCCTCAGCCAGTGTACTCTTGAAGCATAAGCTACTAGATAACACTATTATTAATAACTACTCCTTTATATTGCTGCAGAACCACTCTTTGAAACCAGGCCCTTCTGCTAATCCCAGAGAGTTTTCAGTCTGCTACTAAGCTTATATCTTGAAGATTCTACAGAAGGAAGGTAAGGTAGGATACATGTGCCAGCCCCATAGGCTGTGTTTTTGGGCTTCCTGGGCAGAGAGGGTACCAGGGGCTCTTGCTCCCAAACCTTCCACAGACACTGCAGCCTGATCAGGACCCTGACAGGGCTCAGAGGTGCTCAGGACATGTCTCTCACGGTTTAGTAAGGTTTGGGATAGTCCTTGAGGAAAGCTTACATGAACTGAGAGACAAGTAGGGGTTTATGGGTTTTGTTTTCTCCCTGTTCCCCCTGCCACTACCCTCATTCTATTTGTTTCTGAATTATTGTGAAAAAACCCAAGATGCTTGGACATCTGTGGGCTGGGAAATATATTCTTTTTCCTGTTTGTTTTGTCTTCTATGTTATTTAAAGGGTATAAGAAACACACCAGTAACCATTATACTTGCTACTCTTCTGTCAAATTTTACTTTTTACTTTTCTATCAAATTTTCTAAAAGTACACTGTGAAATCTAATAATGCTTTCTTTCTCCATGTATCTGCTAAAACCATTGGAAATATAATCATCACCAGAACTTCTCTGAAAAGACCCAGAATAAAAATACTATTTTGTAGTAATTATTTGCATTGAGCTGGCAGGCAGGAAAGTCTCTCAGTTAATGGCAAGTAACTTTTTTGTGTGTCTACGTCCAAATTCCAGGAGTTTGGTGTTGCTTCTCCCTATATGCTATTAAATAAGAGACCATTAAGGGAACTGTCATTACTACTGGTAAACTAAACAGCCATTAGAATTACACAAACTCCAAATGTGATAAAAATAGATTTAATGTGCTTTTAGGTGAAGAACTATAATTTACTTGGGGTTTTTTTCAACTTGATTAATTGCTTAGTTAATTAAATATTGTCTATAGGAAGCTGCCATGCAAAAAACCAAACAAATCAACAAACAAAAATCAAAAACCAAAAACCAAACCAGTTTACTGCAATCCCACTTTTTTTAAAATGAATTTCATTGCCATCAAATAAAGAACGTGTTTGTGTTTGTTTCCTCTGTTTAAATTCAGCTTCCTCCTTGTGAAATGGTTAATATGGTAGAGCCCTGCTCTGAAATTGCCTGCAAACTCTTAAAAACATAGTTAATTACAGATAGCCCAATTTAAACTTTACAGCATTCTTGATACATTCAGAATGTATGGAAGGTGGTTTATTCAGGGCAACAAGCAGAAACACATTGTACTACTTCTGTGTATTTGGCGATGAAGGAAGAAGAGCTCCTTCAGCCAACAGGAAGTGAGGCTCACTAAATACAACTGGGAAGAAAAAGAATTTTTACATTCTTGTCTTAATATGGATTAAATTTTTGTAATAAATTATAATCTTGGTTATGAATATTCATCTGCTGCAGAGTGCAGTGCAGGGGTAAAGTGGTTAGAAAAGCAGTGCTGTATCATATTCAAACAGTATCAGCAAATAACTTGCACCTAGTAATGGTTTGTTTGCATATTACTTCAGAAAAGTTCTGGGGGTTGTTCCTGGGAGCTGTGTGGAGCTGGGCACTGAAACTGCAGAAAAACAAAGTTAAGAAGACAGCAAGACTGGACCATGCTCTGGATCTCCAGCAGCCTTTGGCAGGTCACCTAAGATTTTTTTTTTTTTATTCTATTCTATAAAAGAAATAAAAATTATGTATCTTTACTGCTTGTAAGTGAAAAGCATTCTGTGTGAGGTATTGCTCCTAAAGGCTTTAGTGGTGCAGAGGACTCGTACAAAGAATGCAGCAGGACAGTGCTGGGAAAAGGAGCAGGATCTGGCAGCCATCTCAGAGTTCATTTCTATCACCAGAACTTCAGGATTACAGGAAATTGTAGTGTCTGAATATCTGTAAGACATTACTTTTGGTCTGAGATGATACTATTTGAAATTATCTTCTTAATTCTATTAACAGTTGAAAATTGCTTAGCATTTCAACTCAAGAAAAATTTTGTAATTTCTACATCTCTTCACAAGATTTGCAAAACTGTGGAACATGGACCTGCCAAACCAACATGCAGCAGATGTTGATAGGGAGGCACCAATGTGAGGCATCTGAAACTCTGTAGCCAGTGGATCCACCACGCCAAAAAGGCTGTTGGAGGAGGATTGCTCTTGCATGTGTCTGCACATCTTCTCTTAGCACCCTGACCCACCCCAAAGCCTCATTTTTCTCTATTCTTCCAGAAAGGAAAAGGAGACTTCCTCCAGCCTCAGACAGCCATTCCAAAGTACAAGAAGGAGGTCCTGGAACTGCCGAGCTGTCCCAGCTGTGCTGTGCTCAGATTATCCTGAGGTTTTGGAGAAGCACTGGGATGCACAAAAGCTGCCACTCAATGAGACATGTGGAAGATGCTGCACTCCAAAAAAAGATGATCAAGGCTGTGACAACCTGGAGAGACAGAAACCAGGGCACTGAATGACTGCTCCTTGCTTTTCCAGGTAGAAACAATTTTGGAGAGAGATGTATTTTGCACAGGAACCACCTGACTTTTTTTCTAGACCTCTCAGAAGTCCTGCATAGGAAATGAAATGTAAAACACCCCTATCCTGTTGTATGTCATTTCCAAAGTGACAGCTGATTACATTTTAGGAATGTTTTCTCGTTTTCTGAATTAAATCAGTTTGGCATTCTGTAGCAGTCAGTACTCATTAACCTTTTAAGGATTGCCAAACTGTTTTGAAGCATTCAGTGGAGGGGAAAAAGGGAAAAAACCCTCTGTTAAACATCATTGTAATCTGATGCTTCTGAGGCAACAGGCAACAAAGACCAGGTGTTCCTGCTGTAACATATGAGATGTGATGCTGGTCTATGCTCTACTTGAGCAGATTTGAAGAGGGTACAAAACGTGAACCAAACTTGTGACATGTAGTAAGAATGGCATTTATCATCTTATCTAAGTTTGGTATTTAGAATAATACTGATTTTTATGATTAATGATTCCTTCTAGACTGTTGAGAAGAAGAAAATAAAAGTCTATTTTCTAAACCTCAGTAAGCACACATGGCAGAATCCAAGCAGATAAGGAGTTACATGATCTCAAACCACTACTACTGATGAATTCATGAATATGTAACTAGAACTAAATGAGAAATTTAATGTGATCCTGCAGATTTTTGCTTTCCTAGCCTCCCTCAGTCCTCAGAACACATTATGGATAGTGACTGGATATCCAAGTCATGACTATTACTATAAAGTACCTATTGAGTTGGTGAGTGAGGGGAAATGTTTAAAAATGCTGATATTATAAGTATACTTGAGATGTTTGTGTCTCTGACCAGGATCTATGATGTTTGTGGTATCTTGTTGATCTGCCTGCAATAACTATTGGTCCCTGAACTGTAAAGACTTTATAATATCCTCATTTTGGTGAGGCTCAGTAACAAACTTAAGCTACACAAACTGTTACTTCATTTATATCTTATAAAAGTTCCTTGTAAACAGAAAAGGTCTGTAGCCACATCGGCTTATAATGTTGCTCTTGCATGCAGGGCACGTGTGTGCCATCACAAAACAGCATTTGTACATTTTTTGATGGGCTCTTAGGCCAAGTAGGTTTTGAAACAGTGGGATAAAACACCTGGCATGGCCCTTCTCCCAAGAGAAGAAACTGGCTCTGGTCCATTGTTTTGGGGACCAATCAATATGAATCCATTCCCACAGTATGGGCCTAGAATGTTCCCAAATCCAGACTTCTTAGCCAGTGGGATTTCTCCCAAATTCACTTGATGGTAACTTTGCCACCTTGTAACTCAATGAAGGCAGCTACTCAATTATTTGGCTCACGAGAAGTGCAGTACTTAGGGATGAGTGCTCTGGGGCTTTGGCATCAGCCAGCTGGTCATAATAAAATAAGCCAAGGCAACTGGAGGCCAGCTGGGAGAAATCACCCTTCCTTGCACAGCTCCTGGCAAGAGGAAGTGCTGTCCTCAGTACATCCATGATGGGAGCTGTGCCACTTCAAGATACCTCCCATGCTGCATTTCCCCTCTTCTGA